AAAAGATCTGGACCTCAAAGTCATAGTAACAAAACCTGGATTTAAATCCACGTTCTCCCACCTTGAGCAAAGTAGCCAATCTGAGCCAGTTTCCTCATCCTAAGGAACATATAAAGTGACTAGTGTAGTCACTTTATGACTAGTCAAGGGTACATAGTACATGCTTCTTTAAAGGAACTAATATTATTTCCAGAACTAGAGTTTTCATGCTCCTCTTTCACCCTCCCTGACTGTGTCCTTGTCTCATAAAAACCTTTCATTCTCTTTTAGTTTCCCACACACCTAAAACTGCCATGCTGAGGAGCCAGGAGTTAAACTGTAAGACCAAAGATAAGAGGGTTTAGGTGGCAGGGCGTCTCTAAGGGCCATGTTAAGTGATAGATCCTGTGTTTCCTTTCCTGTCCAGGTCCCCCCGATGCCACCATCTACATTGAACCCATCACTGAGGAACGGGCAGCTAGAACTCTGTACCGCATTGAACTCTTACGGAAGGTCCGAGAGCAAGTGCTCAAGTGTCCTCAGCTGCATGAACGCCTCCAGCTGTGCAGGCCCAGCCTCTACCTCCCCGTTTGGTGGGAGTGTGGGAAGCACGACCGAGACCTGCTCATCGGCACCGCCAAACATGGGCTGAACCGGACTGACTGTTACATCATGAACGACCCCCAGCTGTCCTTCCTGGATGCCTATAGAAACTACGCCCAGCATAAAAGATCTGACACTCAGGCACCAGGAAGTCTCTGTTGCCTTTACCAGACCAATTCCAAATTATATGAATCTCTGACGTATACTCAAATGAATAGGACTTCGGAGTCCCTTGAAAATGAACCTGAGAATCGAGGGAAAATAGAAAGCAGAGATGATCATCTTGGTCTGTCTGATGTGACTTGCGAAAATTTGATTTCTAATGTTCAGGACGTCATTTCCATCAGCCATGATGAAAGTCTGCTGCCCGAGACCTTGGACAGCGTGACGTATGGTAAGAAGGTCCTCGGCCAAGACTCAGACTCTTTGCAGGAGAGCCCAAGCATCAGTGCGGAATCCAGAAGAGATGCTGCTGCAGTCTCGGGAAGCCCAGAGGAGACCTGCCATCCTGGTGACCAGGAGGCAGAAGTACCTTCAGGCCCCTCTTTTTTGGGTAGCTTAGAAGCTAGAGTAGCTCAAGTGAACATTAAAAATGGGAAACATTTATTGTTGTCTACGTCAGAGGAAGGGGACCTCTGCTGCAATGTGGCGGGGCCCAGACCTGAAAGCATCATGCAGCTAGGCGCCAAGTGCTTAGCTTCCCCTTCCTTGGACCCAGGAGGCGAAAGCGGGTTTGTAGATATGTGCAGTCTTAGTGTCTGTGACTCCAAAAGAAACCTGTCAGCAGATCAGCAATTAATTGATTTATTAGAAAACAAAACCTTAGAAAGTAAATTGATTTTGAGCCAGAACCACAGTGATGAGGAGGAGGAAGAGGAGGAAAATGAGGAGGAAAACTTATCAGTGGCAGCAGGCATGAGGGAAAGGCCAGAGGTCTTGCATCTCACCGAGCCCGCCACTAACATCCCACAGGAAGAGAGCCGAGGCTTCCATTTCAGTGAAGCCAAGAAAGAAAGCCTGGAAGTGGTAACCCAGACTCCTGGACCGCAGAGGGCTTTCCCTCCAGCCGCCTGTCAATGTCACTGCAAACACATGGGGAGATGGACGCGCAGCCTCAAGAATGAATTTGAAGTGGAGAAACCTGAGGGTTATAACCCAGACCTATACAAAAGCAATACCAATAGCATTACCTTGGAGGGGGAGCCCACTGCTATTCCATCAGAACCGTTCAAAGTGAAGCAGGAGCTTTTAAAAGACCCTTGGAAAGAAAGCACAGAGGGGAGAAAGGGTTTCCCCACATATCTTCTTGAAGGAAGTGAGCTCAAATCAGAAGACTTGGATTTTGAGAATAAAGATGATTATGATAGAGACAGAAACTGCCACAGTCAAGGTACAGGATGTAGGATCTCGTGTTGGTCTGGATAAACCAGTTCTCACATGACAGGGAGCTTGGGGAGAGGGGTGTTCAATAGTTTCGTGGCTTCTAAAACAGACCTACTTACTCTCACTGTGTATTTTAAGCCAAAGACAGAGCAGCTTATTAACTGGGGTCATTGTTGGAGATTGAGAATGATTGTCGACAGTTGAGGCACCTTTGCTCCATCATCTGAGTGAGTGGAGAGGGGCTGAGTGCCTTTGCACAGCAGAGGCTGGAGTGGCACCCAGGGGAAGGAGTTCTCCCTCCACTAGAGAAGGTGCTTCAAAATGGCTAAAGTAGAACAGCCTTGGAACATCAGTAACCTGCAACTTAGCACACATGCAGTTAACTTTTTTACTAACGCAACAAAATATATATATAAATGTTTTCTTTCTTAAGGTGAGCAAAGAAAGCTGCCTTTGTTCATGTCACCAGCAGAACCCTGGTTTCATGTCACTGCATTTGGTTTAGATTCCTTCCAAGAACTCAACAGAAACAGACATAACACAATTTACAACGAAAAATAAGCAGATTTGATCATTTTAAATAGGGAAATCTTAGATAATGGTTCAAGTTAGAAGGAATCTTAAGTGTTAATAAAAGAATCCAGGTGACCCTGAGATTCTCCTGCTTTGCGGGGAATAATATGTGGACAGTGATGAGGGTTCCTGCCCAAAAACACCTAATGAGTTTTACCTATTTTTATTTTTTCAGATCCATGAGGGCAGTTAGGGTAAACAGAAATAGTTCCATTTATCCTTGTCATTATCACCAGAAAACCAGAAAACAACTCTGTCCATGCTGGTGCCCTGCTGGGTATGAGACTCGGGTGTGGACAGGCACGGGCTCCCCTCCCTGGGGCAGTGGTTCTGTGTTGAAGAAGGAAAGAGAAGAGCTAAGCTCAGCTCCCCTGAGGCATCTACTTTCTTTTTCTTTTTAAACTTACCCTTCTTGGCTTTAGTCATTATGATTATTGACTATTTGGGGAAGGCTTCTGAACCCAAATTAAAATTTACATACTAGCCAAGGTAAGAACCAAGAAGCTGAACTTGAAAGCAGCTTGCCAAGTGTAGTGGCTCATGCCTGTAAGCTTAGCACCTTGGAAGGCTGAGGCAGGAGGCTCCATTGAGGCCAGGGGTTCAAGACTAACCTAGACCACAGAGCAAGACCGTCTCTATGAAAAAAACGGAAAAGTTAGCCATGGTGGCACATGCCTGTCCTTCAGCTACTTGGGAGGATGAGGCAGGTTTACTGGAGCGTAGGAGTTTGACGTTATTATGAGCTAGGATTGCACCACTGCTCTGTTTAGACAACAGAGCAAGACCCTCTCTCAAAAAAGGAGAAAGCAGCTTAGTCGAATTACAGCCCCAGTCAACTCCAAACCCCAGTCTACAGCCATGGTCAGGCTGTGACGGGGCACTGCAGTGTGTGGAATTCTATAACCCAGATTGCTTTTTGAGCTCTAATGTAGGAAAAGTCATCCAATAATCAGCCTTGAAAACCTAGACAATCAAAATGAGAACAAGGTGAAGATGGGTGTGGCTTAGAGAGGAAGAAACGTTCCCGACAGACATCTTTGGGAGCAGCATAAGCCTGGCTAAGTGAGGGTGAAGGCAGCAGTGGCCCTGGAACGCTTTAGCGAGATCGTGCACCCACGTAGTGGGAGTCCCTGCAGAGATGCTTTTAAAAGCGCTTCTGCAGGCCCTGAAGAGGATGCTGTACACATGGGGTGTGGGATGGGTGAGCAGAGAGGGCGATGCCAGTCAGGACCAGCCCCTGGGTGCCCTGGCTCGCTCTTCAGGGTTTTCTCTCACAAAGTTCTAAGCTTTTTCTTGAAACTTAAATCCAACTCCTTCATTTAAAACCTCTCAGTGGTACTTCCTGTTGAATCTAGAATAAAACTCATCAAGTTTTCTGTCTCAGCCTGCAGGACCAGCATGATCTAGGTAACTTCTACCCCTCCCTGCTAAGTTCTGTACTTTGTTCCTGGCCATCATTTAGTTCTGTGGCTTGTCTGGAATGCCCTTCCCTTGCCCCTTCACCTTCCTGGGTGTTCCCTCCTCTGAGAGGTCCCTCTCGCAGCCCACCTGAGTGGGTCTTCCTTCTAATTCCCCTTTATGGCACTTGCCACAGCTTAATAGTTTGAGTTATTCTTTCATCGGCACTGTCTTCCTGGCTGTCTTCCCTCATGAGACTGTAAGAACCTTGAGGGCCGGGGCAACATCTGCCTTGCTTAGCCTGAGTCCAGTAGGCTACCTTGCAAAGTCTTGTTTGTGGTAAGGGGTCTCTGTAGCTCTGTAGGAGACTTTTAGTACCTTCAAAACTAGAATGTTCATGTTTCAGAGGATATTCTTTGTCATTTCACCAGAAAAGGGTTCCCAGCTTTTCCTGCCTTGGGCGCTTCTCTACCATCTGTTCACTCCTGGTTATTACCACTAAGTGGATCTTTGAAGATCCCTTTCACATTGGTACTAAACTTTCACCAGCAGTGAAGCTTGAAAGAATGAGTTGTCTTTCTGTTTCTTTACATTAATGAAGCAGTTGAAATGTTCTAAAGTTTCTTTGCATCATTGTTTTCCTGAGTCGGACCTATTTTTCCTTTGTTGTAAGCTTCATACTTTCGATCTTACCTCATCACTAACACCCTCTTGCTGTATTACGTCTCATATTTCATAGACTGTCCCTTTAACTATATTAAAGTATTATGTTATGCAATTTCCCCTTGTTTACTACAGTAAGAAAGAATGTCTCTTTGTGGTCATTCATCTGTTCTTAGTTCTGTATATGAGAAAAGAATCTCCTTTCTTTTTTGCTCCTGAGGTTTGAGTACAGACTCTTACTAGAGGACTTGCCTTGGTAGCCCCCAGAGCAGGGATTTACCTTTATGGTTCTCCTAGAAATACAAGGTATGGTAATTAGTATGCAATTTAAAATAAGTTAGCACAGAATAAGCTAATTCAAACAGCAAAAAGAAGAGACAGATTGGATGTCCTGACATCTCAGATTACCTCTGTCTCTTCCCAGATTATCCAGGGAAATACTCTGAGGAGGAGAGCAAGAGCTCGGCGTCAGGCATCGCTGGGGACACCGGGGATGAGCTGCAGGAGGTGCGGGCCCCCACGATTGCCCAGCTGCTACAGGAGAAAACCCTCTATTCCTTCTCTGAATGGCCAAAGGTACTCCCAGAGCTTGCATTTTCCCTCTAAAGCATTCTCAGCTTTGAAGCCTTTATTTTAAAACTTTTAAGAGTATTTCTGAGCAACAGACCTGGAGAAATGTTTAATCTCTTTAAAAGATACTAATGTGTAACATTTGAATAGTCAAAGATCTATATACACATGACTAATTAGCATAAAAGCGTCCAGCAGTTCTCAAATTTATAGCCCTTTGGCTTTAAATTTCATCGTGCAGACTGAATTTTATTTTAAGGTTTATAAAGTGAGTATGTTAGAGTGTGCTGTTTTCTAATCAGCTCTTTCTGGTGAGAAAACTTGACCCTTGATCTCAAGGGACTTTGTAAATTTGGATAACTTGGTACTTATTCCTCAGAACTGTTGTGCTTTTTTCTAGGATCGTGTGATAATTAACCGCCTAGATAATATCTGCCACGTAGTATTAAAGGGGAAGTGGCCCTCCAGCCAGCAGTATGAGCCCTTGGGTACCCTGCCCACCCCAGTATTAACCAGCAGTGCTGGTTCTCGAAGCATCCTCTCAGAGCCAGAAGCAGCAGAACACAGCTTCAGCAATGGTGCGGCATTGGCAGCCCAGATTCAGAAGGTGAGGCTGTAAGGATGGTGTCGACTACAAAACAAAGAATGGTGGGCACTTCCCACTTCTTGATTGAGTTGATTTATTCAACAGATATTTACTGGATGGGTGTGGCACCTATAGCTCAAGCAGCTAGGGCGCCAGCCATGTAACACCAGAGCTGGTGGGTTCGAACCCAGCCTGGGCCTGCCAAACAACAATAACAACTACAGCAACAACGACAAAAATAGTTGGGCTCCTGTAGTCCCAGCTGCTTAGGCGGCTGAGGCAAGAGAATCGCTTAAGCCCAACAATTTGAGGTTTCTGTGAGCTGTGATGCCACAGCACTCTACCAAGGGAAACATAGTGAGACTCTGTCTCAAAAAAAAAAAAAATACTTACCAAATGGATAGGGGAGTTTTGTCAATCCATTAGTGTTTGGGGTGTTTTTGGTTTAGGCAGGGATGAGTTAAGAGTCTCTCTCTGTCACCCTGGGCAGAATGCATTGGCAGCATCCTGGCTCACTGCAACTTCAAACTCCTGGGCTCAAGCAATCCTCCTGCCCCAGTCTCCTGAGTAACTGAGGACTTTAGACATCGGCAATGGCACCTGGCTAATTTTTTTTTTCTTCTAGTTTTTGGCCTGGGCTGGGTTTGAACCTGCCACCTCTGGCATATGAGGCCACTGCCTTACTCCTTTGAGCCACAGGTGCTGCTCTCTTTTTCTTTTCTTTTCTTTTTTTTTTTTTTTTTTTT